TCGGGTTGACCCGAGCCGAGTGAACTAAACCCAAAAACCTTGACACAAGTTGGAGGGGAAAGCGACGTGGAAGCCATTCGATCGTATCATCTCATTAATGGGAAGGGACACGTGCCTTCTATCGTCTCGCGGGCCGTCGCGTCCTCTTGCATGGATGGGAGCAGTGGCAAATAACGGTGGTTGTGATTCCTGCTAGTCGTAGGGATCCAAAGCATATCGTCGCCGGAGACATCTTAAATTTTGCACATCTTAAATTCCAAGTGTTTTGAAAAGATGCCAAAAAAAAATTGTCAAAGGAATTACGCAAATTAAAATGTGTGTCAGTGGAATTGGGTGTTATGCATGTTGCATCTCAATTCATTCTTTCAATAAAAAATAAAATACCCTTAAACTTTACCATTTATTTAAAAAAATACTTTCATTCTTTCAATTATCTCTTCTCCATGCTTTCAGTGAGATTATATCAAAACTATTGCTTTCTCTCTTAGTCTACAAAATTGATTTCTCTGCAATGCTTTCACTCAGCCTCCTATATATTGAATATTTTTTAGCTACTTTTTGAATGAAGGGTATGTTTCAAACACAAGGAAAAAAACATTCTTTCAAAAGTTTCAAATGACATTTCATAAACATTTAAAAAATAATACCATTTGAGCAAACGACAATTAACATCCAAATTTATTGCCCTAAAAGTTTTTTAACGTTTTTCAGAATTTTTTTTTTCTATTATGTATCCAATTTTTACCTAATCCTCCTTTTAAAAACTATACCTCTCAGCTTATTGATGTGGAAGAGAAGGTGAGGGATTATGAGTATCGTACGTGAATTATTCTTAATGAATGGAACAAAACTATTGATCTTGCATGCCTTTTTTTTAGCGAGAGTTTAATAAATAATGAACACAATGATTACACCAAGAAAATTTAGATTCAAATATCTAGACTTTAAAATGTAACAGCTGGAACATATAATACATAACCCAACTTGAAAAACAAGATTCTACAGTTAATGATCATTGTAAACATACAAAATATTAGGCACTAAGATGCAAAATTATTTGAAATTTGATTGAAGAAACTTGTCCCAAGCCTTCTTATAATGATCATACTTGAGCTTTTGCAACTTCCTGATTAGCTTTGCATCTTTGTATTCAAATCTGCTTCTACAAAGCTCCACTTCTCCAAATT